CTGGGGAAGGGCCGTGTGATCGTGTGAGAAGGTCTATGACGACGACGAATTAGGCTCCATATCTGAAGCGCCAGCGGCAACAATTGTCGGCCAGACAAGTCGCATGAGTCAGCCCAAGTGACAGCAGTTGTCATGTGCCTCCTAAGTACCAACATGGCTTTGAGTGTCCAAAGTTGGGCGGTATCGAGCAAACAGCTGTCTTGTGTGGCTAGAAATCGTTGGCAGGATTCTGTCCGTGGCCATGGACGTATTGTGCAGCAAGGCGTACGCGCAAACTTAGGGCACCTATGTTAATAGCCTATATGGACTGCGTGACCCTGGGATGGAGGCAAACGTGCATCGCGTTCATCAAGAAGAAAAGCCGGAATGAATGGCAGGTACTTGAGAGGCAATGCAGCCGAGGCCTACCGATCCAATTAGCGCCCTCCGATTTTAGTTTGTAAGTAACGCCGTCGGTCGCAACTGCCATCATTGACCTCCAACTTCGAATCCACAAGGACCTTTCGCACTCCCGTATACTCTCCGCTCTTCGGCTACCGCCAATATGAGTTGTCTCAGGATGCGTCGTACGCAGCTTGCAAGCCAGGTGAGTTTCTGCACGCTTTCCATGCCACACGTTCGCAGTCGACGGTCGATAAACTCGGCATCCGCCGCACCGAGGCGTGTGCCACATCCCACATGGCTTTGGCAGATTGTCGCACGTCAACACGACACGTTTGCAGTAGCAGACAATGCCCTTGAATCTCTCATGTTTTCCTGCGATTCTCTCCCGGTTCAATGGCTAACATTTGCCTCATAGCTCGCGAGGAGCTTCCGCCCAACCACACGAGCTTTCTCTTCAACCCGGCCAGCGCAACGCATTTTCGCTACTGAGAACCTGAGGGCAAAGGAAGCGTCGGGTTTCATTTCCAGCAAATACCCCGTCATCGACCACGAATACGATGCCATTGTCGTTGGTGCTGGAGGAGCTGGTCTTCGCGCCGCGTTCGGTCTCGCTGAAGCTGGTTTCAACACCGCCTGTATATCTAAGCTTTTCCCCACACGGTCGCACACAGTAGCCGCACAGGGTGGAATTAATGCTGCGCTTGGAAAGTATGTAGAGACGACGGGTGTCTCGTAGAGGTTCCAGAAGCTGACGAACATGTGTAGCATGCATGAGGACGACTGGCGGTGGCATATGTACGACACAGTCAAGGGATCCGACTGGCTTGGCGACCAGGACGCCATTCACTACATGACAAGAGAAGCGCCTCAATCTGTTATCGAACTCGAGAACTATGGTTGCCCATTTTCGCGAACAGACGACGGCAAGATGTACAAAGAACCCCTCGCCTGAATTTTGTAGAACATACTAACGCACTTCAGCTACCAGCGTGCTTTCGGTGGACAGTCCCAGAAGTACGGAAAGGGTGGTCAAGCATACCGATGCTGTGCTGCCGCTGACCGTACCGGCCACGCTCTCCTCCACACTCTCTACGGACAATCGCTACGACACAACACCAAGTACTTCATCGAGTTCTTCGCCACGGATCTAATCATGGAGGACGGCGTCTGCAAGGGTGTTGTCGCATACAACCAGGAAGACGGAACCATCCACCGATTCATTGCCAAGAACACTGTATTGGCCACTGGTGGCTACGGACGTGCCTACTTCAGCTGCACATCTGCCCACACCTGCACTGGTGACGGTATGGCTATGGTTGCTCGCGCGGGTCTTCCCAACCAGGATCTGGAGTTCGTCCAATTCCACCCTACTGGTATCTACGGTGCTGGCTGCTTGATCACTGAGGGATCCCGCGGAGAGGGTGGTTACCTCCTCAACTCTGAGGGTGAACGGTTCATGGAGCGTTACGCGCCTACTGCCAAGGATCTTGCGTCCCGCGACGTCGTATCGCGATCGATGACCCTGGAAATCCGTGAAGGCCGTGGTGTCGGTCCTGAAAAGGACCATATCTACCTCCAGCTCAGCCATCTACCCGCCGAGGTTCTCCATGAGCGTCTACCTGGTATTTCTGAGACTGCCGCTATCTTCGCTGGTGTCGATGTCACCAAGCAGCCCATCCCTGTTCTCCCCACGGTTCACTACAACATGGGTGGTATTCCTACCAAGTACACTGGTGAGGTCATCACTCAGGATGCCCAGGGTAACGACCAGGTCGTCCCAGGTCTGTTCGCTTGTGGTGAAGCTGCCTCCGTCTCCGTCCACGGAGCCAACCGTCTTGGTGCCAACTCTCTCCTCGATCTTATCGTCTTCGGTCGTGCTGTTTCCCACACTATCCGCGATAACTTCAGCCCTGGCCAAAAGGCTGATCCCGTCTCCGCTGATGCTGGTGCTGATTCCATCTCCGTTCTCGACCAGATCCGTACATCTGACGGCCCTAAGTCGACTGCCGAAGTCCGCCTCCAGATGCAGAAGGTCATGCAGACTGACGTTGCCGTCTTCCGAACTCAAGAGTCGCTCGATGAGGGTGTCAAGAAGATCCACGACGTCGATGCTGACTTCGCCAACGTTGGTATCAAGGACCGCAGCATGATCTGGAACTCCGATCTTGTCGAGACCCTCGAGCTTCGTAACCTCCTCACTTGTGCCGTTCAAACCGCCGAATCCGCCGCCAACCGTAAGGAGTCACGAGGTGCCCACGCTCGTGAGGATTTCCCCGACCGTGACGATGAACAATGGATGAAGCACACACTGTCGTGGCAGAAGAAGCCCCACGGTGAGACCCAATTAGGCTACAGGAAGGTCGTTGGTACTACTTTGGATGAGGCTGAGTGCAAGGCTGTACCGCCGTTCAAGCGTACGTACTAGAGGATTGGCTGGGTTAGAAAGGAAAGTGAGAGATGTGTTTTGTATTCTATGTACTTCGGATGACGGATTGCATGTTTTAGCATGTTTGAGAGCATAAATCGTTCTGGATAGAGAATCGAATCTCCCAAGTTTGATCGCTATATTGTGTTCAAATCGGGAACCTTTGTTGAATGGTGCAATGCTACTGAATGCTGCACTCGGTATTGAGTAGTCGTCCTTGCATGTTGGATATACCATCGCCCTAGCATAGACTGTTGTGGAGACCCGGAGTCTGTTGACTTAGTAAGCGCGAACTGTTCCGCTCAGCACATCAATGTTTACCCAGAATTTCAACGCCAATATCAACCTCATCTATAGAGGCCATCGAGGAGAACATCATCAACTCATCGAGGCATGACTATGGCATGTCGGTGCTTAGTGAGAGACAACTCTCTGCAAAAAGAAAAGAGCTCCTGCCATGTGCAATCAAGGCTAACTTTTAGCCTTCTACATCTTTACAGGGGGGTTGGTGTGGCTGCCACCACAGAAAAAGTTGATTTGTTGATGGCGACGTTACGAGTTTCGAAGCTGTTCACTAACTAACTTAACATTGCGATAGTTTTTGTTTGAACAGATGCTAACGTTGTGCTAGTTTTCGATCGATTGGCTGCTTTTCTATATTATGTTAGTACTACTATCGACCCCGGAAATCACAGACGCTTGATGGGGACCCGTGAGCGCGATGTTGTTTCAATGGATTAGACATTCCGCTCAGAATATAATTCTGAACGCGCGGCTTGTCAACATCATACAGCTGGCCTTGTCATTCTGCTACCCAACTATGAATAGTCAGTGTACCGCCATTGCTGGAGCGGCCGAGAGGAACAATCTAGCAGCCTCACGCAAAGACCTACGAGTGGCCCGCCCCGTGGAAGACCAACGCGAAAAGTACTTCCTTCAGCTGCCATATCGCTGGTCGCTGCCTCCAGTAGCAGCGAGCAGCTATCTACACTGGCTGTTGTCCCAGAGCATATACATCGTCCGTATCAACAAATACTGTCGAGATAGTAGAGCCACGAAGAAGGAATCTTACACGGCAATCGGATTTTCGGCAACAAGCTCCAGAACTTCAATTGCTTTTGTTTTTGTGTTCTTATAAGTTTCGTGTCCTGGATAAGGCGGAAGATGATGAGAGTCCACATACCGTTCCCAGCGTCGTGGTTTAGTCATTAGTGCGATGTGCCATCCGCACCAGACCAGAGACGATATCGATCCACATTTGCGACCTGTTCTGTGGGGTGTCACAGACGGGGCCATGTATGAAGGGCAGAAGCACTGTTCACCATCACTGGAGCTTGCAACGATACTAAAGATTGGAAAGGAATTTCTTTGATTATCTCGGTAAGAAGTGACAGATATTGCAACAGAAACACCACTAAGCGCTCGTAGTGAGACCCACATGATTCTACATTTTCAATGCTTGGCAGGCATTGCGGAGAACGAAGAGTATGAAGAAGACCACGACTAGTGTACCTCGCAACTGAAAACCGACATACTGGGCAGTGAGACATAGAACTGAAAGTCGCGTTATTGATACATTTCCAGCTCTTCTTCTGTGTGCTTGGCGTGATACCCAGATTGATCTCAGCGCCTAGAAAACTGCAAGCGCGATGCTGGCGCTAACGATACCGACACATGGGATCTGGTATCCGGCTGAAAATGGCGGACAAGAAATGAAGGCTTCGTAGGGATCCTTCAAGGATCTGTCAACGTACTCCGCAGATGGAGTTAGCTAAGGTCATGTTACCATCTACCGAGGCTTGTTGTCAATTCCGCCAAGGGGCGGAGTCAAGTTTCAGGCCACATTCCTGCAAAACATGTTAAGTTCGTTACACTGTCACGCGCACAGACACGATGTACGACAAGATGTACCATGCGGACGAAAGCAGAAACCCCTGTTTGCCAGTCATCGATCTACTGGCTTGTCAAGAAGATGCCGCGGACGAAAGCGGGAGCCCCCGTACGCTGCATTAGCGGTTGGGCTACTAGTCCTCTCAGCAGCTATTAATCATCAGCAGTTATTAATCAGGACGTAAACGCACGCATACATATAACTACAGGTTGACTTGCAAACAATGATGTCAAAGCAAGTCAACACCATTTCAAAACGTGCTGTATCAGCCTCAGAGACCTTAGAGAAAACAAAACAAAAATGGTCCGACTGTTCCTGTAAGTCTTCTTAAAATCGCTCAGGTATCTGATCTAATGGATATCTCTGCTGTAGTCTTGGCGTCACTGGCTGGGTAGGTAGCTGTGCTGCCTACACAGTTGCAGCTGCGCATCCCGAATACGAATATACCGCGCTCGTACGCAGCGAGGCCAAGGCGGAGATTGCTAGGAAGTTCCTGCCTGGACATACTCGCTTTGTGATTGGCGATTTTGACAGCTTCGACCTGATCGCCTCAGAAGCGGCAGCCGCAGATATTGTTTTGAACTGGGCTAGCAGCGATCACGACGGACTCAACAATGCTGTGATCGCAGGCTTGAAAAAGAAAGGCAGCCAATGCTATCTGATCCATACTTCTGGGACTGGTCTCTTGACCTACGAAGATGCAAAGAACAACCGTGAGGCGCAAGCGAGTTCCAAGGTATATGACGACTGGGAGGGTGTGAGCGAAGTTGTGGGTTTGCCGGATGACGCAATGCATATGAATGTGGACAGAGTCATCCTAAATACCGCGGCAGAGAATCCTTCTATCCGCACCGCAATCGTCGCGCCGCCTCTGATTTATGGAGTCAGCGCCAACAAGAATGCGGCCCGTGAACGAAGTGCGGCGAGACAAATGGTCATCGATATCTTGAAACATGGCAAAGGGTTCTTCATCAACGAAGGAAAGGCGCGTTGGAACACAGTTCACGTGGACGATCTCGCCCGTCTGTACCTGATCCTCGTGGAACAAGCAGCACAGGGCGGTGGGAAGGCGACATGGGGTTCAGAATCCTACTACTTTGCTGAGAATGGGGATGTCTGCTTCGAGGAGCTTGCGAAAGAAATTAGCCGTATAGCCTGGGAAAAGGGACAACTCCCAACGGACGAAACAGAAAGCCTCACTACAAGCGAAGGGAACAAGCTCTTCCCTTTTACAACCACGGTGACGCTGCGAAACTCCAGGTCGAAAGCTGTTAGGGCGCGGGAGTTATTCAACTGGAATCCGGTCGAAATTGGTGTTGTTGAAGACATAACCAAGAACTGGCGATTCAATGCCGAGGAGGAAAATCCATTCTTCTAAGTGCACTTTAGAAAGCCATAACTACACGTTGCTGCCCCTATACAGATATGTATATCCCTTTTGATTGAAGAACCTGATCATCGAGTTCTTGAGTTTCTGACGAAGATTCCAAAATATCTTTGAGTAAACTGATGTGCTGCGAGATTGGCTTTCCCACAAACTTTGGCAATGCAAATATTGGAAAACCCCTCTTTAAGCAAGATTCTCATAACGAAGAGCGTTGAAAATACTTTGAAATCTTAGACATGTACAGTACCTTTTGTCGATTCTCTAGGCTCTTTTTACCGACAAATAAGAATGATGACCCATGGACAAAGGATGCAAGATTGAAGGTGGGAAAATACATGGGACCAAGACACGATCGGTATAGGATGTCAAACGATCACGTTAATGATATCCCGCTAAGGAAGAGGTGGCAAAGAGGCGGTAGAACTGCAACCGTTACAGAAATCTCGCCAATAGACACAACTAGGGGAATAGTAACGACAGCGAGGGATAACAAGACCAGGATCTAAGAATAGACAGGTCTCTCTAATACACTCGTTGTGATGAACTCCGATAGTTTTATATCTGGTCTAGATTGATAGCTTGTTCTTCGTCGCTACTAGAGAGAACCTTTCCATGCTTCCCACTGCATTTGAACTATGAAAATCCTCAATTACCCAAGAATATATCGAGCAACGAGCCGTATTCGATGGGGTCTTCGAAGAGTTGACCATGGGCCGAATCAGGGAATACAATCAACATGGCGGAAGGCAGCTGCTGCGAAAGGACGAAGCTATTACCAGTCCCCATCAATCTGTCTGTATGGCCATTAGTTACCAGTACTGGCGCGTCAATCCTGTTGAGTCCCTCATAACGCTTGGAATCAGCCGAAAACTTGCCGATAGCGACTCCTTGTGCTCCCACCCCCACTCCAACCAAGAAATCCTTCCTCTCTTCACCTTCCACATTGCGTTCGAAGGCCCGCTGCCACCATCCTCTGCCCTTAGCGAGACTAGTGTTCGAAGGATAGAAGAAAACTCCAAGCATGTAGTCTTCAGTTGGAGCTCGGTCTGGTTCCCCACCGAGACCCTGAGCAGCGTTTCGATCCGTCTCAAACACGTCCGGTCCAGCACCAGGTCCCACTCCGGCTAATACCAGCTTGTTCACTAGCCGAGGATAGTCCATACCGATGGCTTGAGCTATGTAGCCGCCCATGGAAAACCCAAGGATATCAGCTTTCGTTACGTTGATAGCAGAAAGGAAGTCCACAGTCGTGTCTGTCATAGCCTCAATAGAGTCGGGAACAGTGCCGTCGCTGTGGCCAATCCCAACATTATCGTAGATGATGACCTGGCGATTTTGCGCAATAGTATTGATAAGCAGAGGATCAGTAGTATCCATGCTCCCGCGGAAGTGGGTTATGTAGACAAGGGGAGTCTCCGATGGTTTGCCAATCTTGCGGTAGGCAATCTGAGTGCCGTTCACACAGATGAACTCGGTCACAGCAGTTTGGGCTGAAAGGTTCGAGCAATCCCCGAAGATGTCGTATCCCGTCGGGCTGTCAAGAAAGATATCAACATAACATTTGCAAGCGTCCAAGTATCACTAGACTTACTGGGGAGCCGCCGAAGCTGTCATAGCGGAGGCGGCCACGAGGAGTGGGGCGTGGACTCTCATGTCCTCAATTCCTGAGATAAATGCGATTGTGCAGTGATTGCTTTCAGAGTAGGCTATTGCAATTATGGCAGTGGAACACACCAGATAATGTGGGTTCGCATGGCTTATATGTTGTGAACAAGATGGCGTGTGCATCGATTTCTGTTAATGCTTACAATGCAATTACTGTCTTGATCTGAGCAGATTATACACAGCATGTCAGACTCGGCATTCGACGATCTACTTCTGGGGCAGGAGCCACTGGATGCACCACGCGGAGCCATTGGCATACATGCTACGGATAGGCAGCTTATCAATCAGTCCGAAAGAACAAGTAACAGTGAATATCAGTAAGCATACGCTTCAACGAGGCAGTGATATAACTGTCAAGTTTCCTATGGGAACATGATTGCCCTTTGCAATACGTATGAAGCAGGGATAACCCTGGACACATAGCGGCTTAGAACCTTTAGATTGTTCGTCGTTACGTTTCGCGAGACACAATTGGCAATGGCTAAACCGTGAGCAAAGAGATCCGCAATTTCAATTGGCGTGATGCTATCCAAAAGAGTTTCAGTGTGCTCATTCACTAAAATTTGAATCCATGGCTGCATAATGAGATGGAAAGTTAGTGTCTGAGTACTAATGCAGATCAAAGATCCGTATGCCAAGCAAACATGCAAAAGTGTTAAGTGATTACGGTGAATACGCTAAATGTAGAGGCGAATTACACATCTTTACGACTAATCAATAAACATAAGCAAAAGTCGCACCGATTACAAGGCCCTCGTTAGTGTAGAGTGATTAGTGAACGAAGAAGAACGCTAATGATTCTAGCTGGAGAACATCGCTAAGTCATGGATAACAATATCAAATTCTCTTTCATATTTTACCAATACTTGGCTGGACATGGAGTTTCAGCCTTGTTTATCCTGTAAGTCTATGCGCATGGCCTACAGTAGAGAGTCAGAATAGACTGTAAGATTACTCAGAAGAAGCCACAGGAACAAGGACGAAGGAACGATGGACCGGGGATTTGGGAGTAGCTGGACAGGCGCGAAGGAGGCCAGATAGAAGAGGATTATATAGACCCTAAGTGACTCTAAAACTGTGGATGTAATCCAACCATACAAACCCCTTCTATCCGTCTGATACACCCTTTAATGACCTTCTCATATCAAAGAAAGCTGCAGGACTATCACTAAACTGGTTCTAAATTAAAGTAGTTGCCAATCGAGGTGCTACGTGAAGCACGCTACCGACTTGCTGTAACGTGTCGTTAAATGTACACAATTTCAAAGCAACGCCTCGTCAAAAACCATCAAAACATTCACGATGAAAGATTTGTCGAATTTAGTGGTGCGTACCTAACTGCTTGCTTTGCTCCACAATCCAAAGGACAGCATGAACTTCATAGTGGCGTAGAAGCACTTCGACAACATGCTGATCGAGCACCGCCTGCTTCGCCAGTATACTAACCCTAAGCTAGAAACCGAGATGCATGTAAGGTCAATGTAGGATAGGCTATGTGCTACCTATAAGGACCATCGGCTTCGCAATATCGAACCCGATGCGATAACCAATGTTTGCCTCCAAAGTTTGCACAGGAACTTATATGTTTACCCAGAAATTCAGCTTTTGCAGTGCAGTGAGTGCTTTGACATGAATGTCTACACGAATCCCATATCGAGCAAGCTGAAATCACAAATACCAGCTAGAAGGACTCTTAAAATATTTCGAATAGTTCTATCCGCCATTACATACGTCTCGCTGGATTTCCTCGCTCAATCTCTCTATTGTGGGTCTAGTATTCTGTCCGGTCAATTTTCTAGACCCCGCAGAAAGTCATGCAAATGCCTGTTTACATCTCTTGCAGCCTCGGCTTGCATGAAGTGCCTTGTAGGAGCAGTTCGAACAGTCAGGTAAGGAAGATACGGCGTAGTTTGGTTTAGTTGGAGATTTGGAATTGCCAGAGGGTCGTTGTCGCCAACGATGAACAAGGAGCGCTTAGTGACCGTAGGGTCAGTCGAAGCCATCAGGGCTGGTGAGAGTTAGTAAAGTATGTCAGCAAGGGGAGAGGGAGTAGAGAGAGACAAAAACAAACTATCAAGGAAGCAGATTCAGGAAAGCGCGCATCCACTCACCTTGTTCATCAGCAGTGTTGTAACCACGCATCATAGCACGATACCACTTGAATGAACCCTCCATACCACCCTGGGCGAGCATAATAGTGCGCCACTGATCAAGAGTGACTTCGGTAAGAAATTCATTGTAGAAGAAAATGCGACCATCGGCAAGCAGCCATTGTTCCAGGGCGCCTGGCTCACTGATGTTACGCACATAGTTGACGTCAGTGCCGTAAGCGATATTGTATAAAGCATCAAGCTAAACATGCAAGATAGAAATTAGCTTTCTGTTCTCATCGTATGTACTCTGAGGGGTCCGTTCCAGTTACTCGGTTCTTTCCTTCCTCGTGTGAGGGCTAGAGGGGTTGAAGATGTTCTACTTACGTGCTGGTCGGCAATAGCAGGAGCGCGGTCCTCAGCGTTGAAGTGCCAATACTGGAGAAGAGGATATCCGAATAAGGCACGTGAAGCCTCATCGCTGGCGTCTATCGTTGCGCTGGTGAAGTCGGTTCCAGGCGGGGAGTATCCTAAGGTGAGAAAGGCCAGAGCGCTCAGGCGGTCAGGATAATAGTTTTCTATACGCGATAACTGGCCGGAGCCACTATATGGTGGTAGATTCATTAGTCGTTGCTTGGAGACGGAATATTGCATGCTCTTCACGGTGTCACATACATGTCATGGCCCACGCCTACAACCCGACCAACACCTTCGCACTCGAGCAATTCGACCATCTCGGAAGCTGTTCGTTTGAAGGTGAATGATTCCAGGTCATCAGGGTTGTCGGTTCCACCAGTCCCCAGCATGTCGGGCGCGACGATGCCGTAGCCATGTCGGGTAAAGTATTCGATTTGATTTACCCACGAGTAGGATGTTTCAGGCCAGCCGTGGAGAAGAAGAAGTGTAGGCATAGATGAGTTGAATGGCGTTTTGAAAACATAGCGGTATCTATGGCCTGAAGAGAGTCGTGCGCTTTTCACAAGGTTCGCGTAGCTAGTGAAGCGGATGTCGTCCTGGAAGAAGTAAACAGCTGATCAGTTTTGCACTGGACGAAGCTGGGCATGATAGCTCACAATATTGGGGTCCATATCAATCTCGCATAATGAACTTTGGTTGGTTGGACGAGCCTTCTTGAGTTAGTGGAAAAGTTGTCGATGGTGTCGGTAGCACCTTACTAGTGCAAGATTGGCCATTCCGAGAAACAGCCAGAGGATATTCGGGAGCATCATATTGTTGGATAGGAATTCGTAGTGTAAGAAGTTCTGAAGATGGGGCATGACGATTGTAAGAATGCGTATGATGAAACCTTTTATGTCCTCATTTATAGGTCATCACACAACGCAGATACATTACGAATCTACCTAGGTAGTCTTAGCACACCAAGGTGCCAGGGGTCCCTTTCGAAGTGACACTTACAAATCTCCGCAAACGCGACCGCGTAATTGTATATTATCTAACCATCATTCGTCATGACTTGCTGGTGAGTGATACTTCTCTAATGTTCTTGGTAGTTCACTAATCATACTGGCTTTCGTAGCTGGGCTACATTCCAACATCTGTTTTCGATGCATGATCCGTGAGTAGTTGACGTAGCATCACACCAAACGCTAGCTACCTCCTTTCTACGTCCCATGTCTGTAGGAATCTGGCACAGCTGTTGCTCGACCATCTTGACGTAAATTGTCTTGCTGTAAATGTGTAATAACGATCTAGTGCATTTCGCTAATCGCGATAGAAATGGCGCTGACAAACAAAGGTCAGAGCGTAATTTCACCCTGAAGATTAACCAAAATGATGCACAACTCTCTGCTGTTCTAGGTTTCAGTTAGGTACCTAGCCACAATTCAGTGCTTACGCGGCTTGGCAACTACCCTAATAAGAAAGATCCGCCAACCCCTACCAAGCCTCAAGGCTCATGACTAATTAGTCACCGAGCACCGATGTTTGCTGTAATTACTAAACATACCTCCTAACGTGCTCCATCGGTCATCCGCTCTATCAAACCCGACGCGACGCTTCTACACAACAGCAACAATGCTACAACACCGCCGCACTCTTTTATCTCAAAGATAAGGCAGAGTCTACTCCGCATCTGGGTATTTTTCAAGAAAGCAATTTAGCAGCCGTCGAGAGATGCGAAGCTATTTGATGTCCCTCGTTCTACCCTATGCGACTGTCTTCGAGGTAGCTAGCTTCAAGCTATCGTTAATGCCGAGAACAGGAAGCTGTTCCGTATTGAGGAGCGGTCTCTCTCGCAGTGGATCTAAGACGCAGATCGACAAGGCTCTCCGCCCCAGGTTATTGTTGTACGACATACAGCAAACACTCTACTCAATGGCCCCGGCCAAGATCCACCTCCCGCATCTGTGGGCTTGAACTATGTGTCCCGCTTCGTCAAGAGCTAGTCTAAGCTACAGAACAAGGATTAGATTAGAACTACCAGGGAAGGCTAGGTTGTACTAGGCACATGCATTGCAGACTAAGAATTGTGAGTGCTGGGCACGTCTACCAAGCTCTGGTAGCAGCGATCAGATCAGGCAAGATCACTCGCAGAATTATCTGTGCAGTCTGTACACGTTCGGCATCCCACCCTCTTTCTTTCGACTTACGTTACTTGTGATTAGTAACACTTTGTTAGGCATTAAATCACGAACTAAGCCTTGAAAAGAGCAACAATCACTAATCCGAGATTTGTCAGTCAGCGGAAACAGAACTCCAGCGACCACGTCTATACAAATGTATACTCATACATATATAAAAATCATGAGGCTACTCATTGAAGACATATCAAACCAGCCTCACTGTCATACAAAATTCACATTCCCATTCTGGGTTTCCGACTTATTTTCATCTCCACGAATTTTGATCTTGCATCAATGGATTCATATAAGAAGATTTTGATCATTGGCGTAAGTGCTTTACTCAATCTGAAAACATAGACGTTGTTCCACAAACACATTGTACAAACAGAGTACTAACTGTTGCATGTATTAGGCGGGAGGTGCTTTGGGTATCCCAATATTGAACGAATTCCTGGATTCAGCTTATGAAGTGAGCGTTCTTAGTCGCAAAGAGTCTACTGCAACATTTCCGGACGGTGTGAAGATTTTCAAGGCAGACTACAAAGAATTTGCGGAAGTCAAGGCTGCCATGGAAGGGCAAGATGCTGTGATCAGCAATGTGGGCGGTCATGCAGCTGGAGATCAACAGATCTTTGTAGACGCCGCCCTCGCGACTGGTGTCAAGAGGTTTTTCCCAAGCGAATATGGTCCCTATACCAGGGATCCCAGGATGCTTGAGCTCCAGCCTTATAGCACCCCGTATAAGAAAGCTCTCGTTGACTACCTTCGAACAAAAGAGAATCAAATATCATGGACGGCCCTGATTACAGGCGGATTCTTCGAATGGGGTATGGGAAACGGCTTTTTCGGCTTCGACCTTCCGAACAAGACTGCAATTTTGACCGATGACGGAGTTAGCGCCTGGGCCTCCACTACGATGGGAACGATCGCCGGAGCCATTAAGGCCTCTCTTGATCACGCTGACGAGACTAGGAATCAGTACGTCTTTGTTTCGTCCTTCCACCACACTCAGCGCGAGATACTTGACATCATCGAGAAGGTTGATGGAAAGAACTGGAATGTTGTGCATGTTAGATCCGAAGACCTCCTTGCCAACGGCAAGAGAAGAGTCCAATCGGGTGATTTTGCTGGCATCATGGATTTGACTAGAGGTGTCGCCACGGGCAAGCTCGGACTAGTCGATCTGAGGCCTCATGGGCTTTGGAACGAGAAGTTAGGGTTGCCTGAGGAAGACTTAGAGGCGGCTCTCAAAAGGATTGTGGAGAAAACCTTTTAATTCGAAAATTACTGTTCAAGAAAATAAGAAGTGTCTTTGACTGATGTGAAAGAACATAATAAGACTAGCAAACCTGGAATTGGTACATGCACAGTTCTTGCTCGTCTACAGACAAAATCACGAGGGCTAACGTCGCACAAGGCTGAACCAGCTCCTCCGCTGCTCGGTAACAACCGGTGCGCTGTCTACCATGTCTTCCGCCGCTAGCTCACTTATCGACGACTGCTGAGATACCATCGAATCTGTTGAAGCGAACGAAGACGGCTGCTTTACCATTGGACTCTTGCCAGGTCGCCACATAATCGGCAGATCCTTGAGTTTGTGCCCCTTCTCCATGAGCGGAATTTCACTCTCTAAATCGGTCCAGTTGCGGTGGCCTTCGCCTTCGTAGGCTCGACGCTGGAGCTGCCATACTCCATCTTGTGTCCAGCGAGCGATACGGGGGCCCAGTGCGCGGCGGAAGCGAGTGAGGTAGACGAGGAATTTTAGAAGCGTGATGTCGACGATTGCGACGAGGATGGAAAAAGCGATGACGAAGGCGAGGCCGAAGACGTTGATGTTGCTGGTATAGATTAGTAAAAGTCCTGGGATGTCCAGGAGCATGTGAGAACACTCACACGAATCCACCAGACTTTTTCATCTTCTGCGCTCCACAAAGCGCTTTCTCGCCCTCAGTCTGCGGCGCAATAACATACGCATCTGCAAATGGATCGCTCGCTTTAGGCCCAATCGCATATTGAGAAACGGCCATCTGCATCGCAGCCCAGACCTCCTGTTCCCAACCTAAAACCTCCCGTTTCCAGAAGTCGTCGGGCATGGACGGAATCATGTAGGTAGACCGACCCTCCAAGTCCGAGGCTTGATTGGTCTGCACCCTTGCAGTAGTGTGTAGCCAGCTTGACATAATAAGAAGTTGTAGTACTGCTTGCTGCATGCTACTGGAATCTGGAAAATGGGTCTTGTTCATCTCGTGATAGGGTAGACCTTGGAACGGTGTGCAGTAATCGTCTTGACCGTCTCTAGCGTGACAGTATTGAAACTTTGAGCATATCAGTGTTTGTTCTCGTGCAAGACTGAGTGCTCCGACTCACATGCTGGGTACAGGCAACCCCTTTGACAGGGTCGTCAGACGCATAATTCGTGACCTCTTTACCCAGATCCCATGAAGAAATATTCTTGTGTGAAGAATACAGCGGGTCATCAGTTGGCGTGGCAAACATAAGGCGATTTTGCATGAAAGGTTTCAGAATCAAATCTCCATCTGGCCCATCGTTCATTTGAATAGGGAAGAAGCTTTCCAGAGGAAACCACCCTTGCGGCACCCTGTTGACCGGCGATCTGTACCATACCGAGCCACTGGAGGAACAGATCAGTCACAGCATAATCCATTGTACGTAACAACCTTTGACTTACAGTGGAATTGTTGGATTACCAGTGATGTTAGACACAAGAAGGTACCCTATGTAGCTTTCTATTCTTGTCTTATCCGTTGGTCCGTACAACAAGGCCAGAATCTGTTCGCCAGGAAAGATGAAACGATCCGCAGGTACCAGACTGGGTATTAGTTCCAAGTCGAAGACTTCGTAAGACCCTTCACTAGGTAAAACGGTACAAGAAACTTTCTTCCGAAACATTACACGATCTTTGGCAGCCAGGTTTAGTCCGAACATCTTACCGACGTCTACAAGGCCTGAATCGACAGTAACGGCGTTTTTGGTACCGCACATGGTTTCGTTGAACGGACAGGGCGTGCTTCCGACTGTAAGTGGTATGTTTACATTGGTGAAGGCATCGTTGCAGAGGGCGGGGAGCGAACCATTGCGGTAGCAGGCTCCGGCATAGACAGGAGCATTCGCGATTAAAGTGGTGATATAAGTCCTCCAGGCAGTTCCAGTCCCGTTGATTCTTCCGCATAACGGCGAGTCGACTAGCACTTCGATGGAGCCACTGTCGACGACAAAGGATGAGAAGACGGACGCCGCGACTGTGACCGCCGTGAAGAGCATTGCGACAAGTACTAATACTATGGATCGTAGGAAGGGTCGGTCTGTGTTCTTCCTCCAGGCCCACCATAGTTTGAGCGCTTCAGCGACAACCGAGCTGGGTGTTGGAAGCGTACGCAGCAGTGCCTGCTGTTGCCTGAACATAGCATCCGCTGGACGACCGTTGGCTCGGACTTGATGAATCGCAAACGCGATCAGATGCCAAAGATGTGCAGTTCCTATCTTAATTAGTCACTTTTCTCTCTCGAAGACTGATGCTCGTTAATGTTACCTAAGGTTGACAACACAGCTAGCATGGCAACAACAAGATTGCCTGTTTGCGTATCAGTCGTGATGGTCCTTCCCAGGACTGGCCCTCCATCCATGTTCGTCCTATCAAAAGCAGCATATTAGCAACACGTTGCGAAGAATATGCAGAATCCAGCATTAGCCTCTTACCATGCACCTGTCTTCACATATTTCGAATTCAACTCAAGAGACATTGTCGCAACATTCAAGAACTAATATGATTGATAGTCGGCGTACCTTCAACAAAATATATAGCGAGACGTTGCTATTCTTTAAAAACATATTGATCTATCATGGGAAGCCGCGTATCCATCCTAACGTTCAATCTGAAGGTGGCACAGTAGCTCTGCGATGCTTGGCAAGCGATGCGGCGAATAATAAAAAACCAAGAAACGACGAGTAGCATTCCTGGCGCGTCGAGATGATTTTTGATGACCATTATACCGAAAAGAGTATCTCTTGGGACGTTTGTAGTACCCAGAGCGTACAGTGGACCCATAGCGTGCGAGGTTTGGGTATGGTCAGCGCTTAGGTGACTGCAAGCGCGGTGGCGGCGCGTACATGTAGATAAACGGATCTAGTAGCATAAAGTTGTTGAAGGCGCTTAAAGACTGTATCATCTCTAGGGCTGAGAGCATTAGTGAAGACGGATTCATCTAGAAGAAAGCCTGGTCGTGACTTCAAAGCGCGCAGGAAGCTACCGGAGTCGAGCGCGTGGAGCATGATTCTGGACACCGTCAGACGATGATGGAAGCTACGTGGCGTGGCCAGCTGAAAGGCAAGAACTTCCGTCACTAGAAGAAGAAGCAGACACACTTCAATGCAGCGCCTAGTATTGTGATGTCACCAAAGACATTGGTAGGTGTGAAGTTAGACGTGTACCTGCCCAGGTCACGATGGAGGTGGCTAGGACCTGTTCCGCGCTAAGCCATTCAAGGGCCGACGATCTACGTTCGTCTCCAAAGCGCAACCCAACATCACACTTCTTCTTCTGGAAAGATTCCTCGCCGTCTTCTAGAAAACAATAACCTTAGCATAGTGCATTGAAAGCGTGTATATATCTGCACGTGACCAGTTTGATCGACCACAAGGTAATGAATCCCAGCATTGATTGACCCGCATCGCTTACATTTACCATTGCCGCACTGACTTGGCCAAGGCACTATCAGAATTTGCCGTATGATCAACGTCCAGCATCGCGGATATATGGAAGGCAGACGAGTAACTTACCTGCAACATCTTCTACCAGCTTGGCAGGGGTGGCGGTGCATATACGATTCAGGCGACTGTGGGGCCATTGTCTTCTAGGCATCCAACTGTTCGCCTTGTGATGCCTTTGTTCGCGTTTCATTGCAGGGCGAAGGACGAGATACAATCGCACCAAGTTCTGGCGAGATAGTTGTCCTATACAGAAGTACGGCTTGGACGTAGAATGTAGAAAGGAAATGGTACAAGCAGGGAATGATATGTACAATGACTTGATTGATTCCAAGTAGTACACGACTAGAGTGCCGACTGGCTTGGCTACGCATGACTGTCCGTGTAAGGATCGTATCGTACGTATACATTTCCCCCCATGTCCTTCTCCACCCCAGCCAGTCAATGCAATGGATAAAAAGTATTGACAGCGAAATTAAGTTCCGACTCACACAACCCACTTGATGACGAAAAAGAGACCAGTTCATGCTGATGCAGATACATTGAATTATTATAGGGCGGCTAGAAGAGCCCAAAGATGAGACAGAAATGTCGTGGAAACTTTTGGGAAGAAGTACCAACAATGAGGGGTATCATGCAATTGCTATGCACTCATGTGATGCTCTCTTGCTCGCTCTAGAATCGGAGTTTGGCCTCACGGGAATGAAGCTGGAAGCGCTTGTCGAGAGTGATATCCTTGACCATGACAGCAGCAGCGGCGCGAGCAGCTGGGCTACCGTTCAAGCCGCTGTGATCTGGTAGGACGTAGTTCTTGGTGAGACGCTTGACAGCTCCGTCAACACCGTTGCTGAGGAGCAAGTTTGCGCTTCCACCAGTGTTGCCCTTGACATCGCCCTGGCGGGCAGTTGCAAGGAGCTTAGCCTTGAGGGCAGCGGGGTTTTGACCAAGACCGGCAACGTCTTGAGTCATAAGGGTGGCCATTACACCAGTGACGTGAGGGCAAGCCATGGATGTACCAGAGAGGAAGTTGATGACGGCGTCGCCAGTGCTCCAAGAGCTCAAGATTTGCTCACCGGGGGCATAGATGTCAACACACTGGCCAATGTTGGAGAAAGACGAGATCTCGTTGTCGATGTTAATGGAACCGACAGTGACGACATTGGAGTTCTTGCCACCGAGGTGAGCGGGAGTGCTACCACAAGCATCGATACCATCGTTACCAGCGGCGACCGAGACGTGGATGCCAGCCTCTGAAGCACCAGAAATGATCTCGTCGACTGAGTTGGCGGTACCCTGAAGACCCCAAGACATGCTCATGATGGAACCGACGAAACCGGGTTGGGTCTTGCGCTTGTTGTGGTTGGCGATAACCCAGTCCATACCCTTGATGGTGTCGGAAGATGCACCAGATCCGTCATCTCCAAGTACCTTGACTTCGATAATGTTGGCACCCTGGGCGACACCGAACTTTGCACCACCAGCAGTACCAGCAACGTGGGTACCGTGACCATCACCATCAACAAAAGAGCCAGTAGCAGTGAAACCTTCAGT